CTGGACCAGGCGTAGGCAACCTTTGCTGGCTCAGGAATTCTGGGAGTTGAAGTCCACGAGTCATAAAAGAGCCAAGGTTGCCTACCCCTGCACTAGACATATCTTTTCATGCCTGGGCAATTGGTAATTAAGAGATTTCAGCTGGTGGAAAAGCATCTTGCCAAATGTCTGACAACTTTTTCTCTGTTAAGGGAGGACTACCTGTATTTATATATAATTCACGCTATAACTTTCTCTCTTGCATTTGTTGTTTCTGCATTGGTGAATTCACAGTATGAAGCTTCTTATGGACTCTTTTGGCGTAAAGTGTCTTTTACAAAGAAAGATTATGAAAATTGTTAGGCATAGGAGACTCATAGATTTAGCTCATTATTCTCTAGCATGTTAGTATACTCAGAAACATATATACTTACTATACCAATATTGTAGAGGGAGCTTTTCTGATAAAAAGAAATCTAAAAAAATCCATTTCATTCTTTCTACTACTACAGAGTTTTTAAATCCAACTCCACAAATTATGCCTTATTACCCTTCTTTTAAGGCATTCCACACAGAAAGTGAAACCATCTCTGCTTTAGAAACAGCAACCTTATTCAGCCTCCCAATTTTGGCTTATTTACTTTATGTACACTGCTCTGGACACAGAATGTGGTAGAGATGTTATTAAAAGTATAGTTTGTTCAGAAGGTGTCAGCGAAAAAACCAGGGACTGTGAAAGGATCGCACATAAGTTATTAATTCAGTTTGCTCTCTGGGTTCTTGTTTGGGGTTTCTACCATATTTTTGCTTCTTTTAAGTCAATGAGAGTTTTAGTGGTTTTAGACTATATTCCTTTATACTCAGGCTCTGCCTCAGAATATAGAGTAGGAAAAACAAAATTTATATTAAAGTGTAGAATTATGTAAGTTAAAGGCAATAGTCCCATTAATATAAGGAACACGATACTGAAAATTGAAAGACCTAACTGGGTTAGTGGAATAACTCATCCCATCCAATTCAATTCAAAACGGATTGAAATGGTTAAAGAACTAAGAACATTCACCCCAAGAACATTCACCTTCTAGCATATATTCCCATCTCCAGGAAATCAAATTTATGAAAGGGGATAGAATTGTGTCTGGTCAGTGCTGGTGGTGCTAGCCAAATTTATTTTCTGCGAAGCATGCATTCCTGTTTTTTATGAATTCCTACATATAATTGCTATTGTTGGCACACAGATCCTGTGTTTGATTGTTTTGGTCAGCATGCTGGGTAGGATACGTCATTCATCTAAAGCACAGGTGTCAAAGTCGCCGCGTCACATGACGTGTTGCGACGTATTGTGACTTTTTTTGCATTGCCGGGGCTAGGGTGGACGCGTCCTCCGTATGATGCAACTGGCCCATGGGCTGGCAGTTTGCCATCCCTGATCTAAGTATCTGATACAGTGCTTGAGCAATAGAGCAGCATAGGCAGCTGAGAGAGTTAGTTTTTGAATTGCAGCATTTATAGGAATTCCACTTCATTTGAATTAACTAACTCAAAAATGAATATATATTAATTTTGCACTAATGGGAGTTTTCAAGAAACATTTTATTTGTTACTTGTATGCAAATTAATTTTACTTTTTATTTTTGTTCATTTTTTGGCTAAAAACTGATTCTTTCAAAGATCAGCTTTTAAAAATCTTTGATCGTCATTGGAGAAACGCATTTTTATTTATTTAAAGGATATAGATGATAATGTACAACCTTTCAATCTTTTCAAAGTTATACTCTGTTTTATCTAAATTTGTAAATATTACAGTATGCATACAACATTTACAGAATGCAAATGTGCTTGTTAATGTACATGCAAGTATTATTTAACATTTGGTGAAAAAAAATCTTTCTTGCCCCTTGTTTTATTTTTTTAATTAAAGTTTTGATCAGGTGCAAGTTGCTTTTCATTTTTCTTAGACGTGAAGCATACTGTTGAACTTTTGTTAAAATGGGTGGAACTAGAGGTGTGCTTAACAACTACAAAAAAAAATGCCTTTCTTGCATTTATTAAGTAACTGCAGATTAAAGATAAATCTGTGTGTAGGTGATGTTACCATAGTAAATGTGTTTGATCAACAAACTTGAATTCTGATATTGCTGCTTGCAGTAGTTGTATTAAAATACAATAACTTTGGAAACACACGGCACTGCATTGTGTCTGATAGTATTGCAGAAGGAAGCCACTATGTTTAAGCAATGATGCAATATGAGTGGTTTGTTGCACTTCTGCAGTAATAAAAGAGCTTTGGAAGAAAATATGATTAGAGTTATCTCAAAACTGAAAGCTTGCTGCAAGGTAGGTGGAGGAGAAACTTGGTTAGAGAAAAGACAACAAAAGTTGCCATAGGTTTCTTGAGAGCGTTATGTTTTGGAAAGGCTTAGATGGTTTTAGATGTACTTCAAAAGATCTGAGAATAAGAACAGTGGAAGAATGATGTCTGTCTGTGGTCTACAGAGATTTAAAAGTCAGGTGACTTTAACCAAACAACATATGGGAGAGAGACCTAATTCCTGTTACAGCATTTGTGCATCATGCAGATAATAAATGGTTAAAACTATCTATGTAAAAACAGCAATAACAGCAAGGAAGATAAAAAATAACCTTAAACTGCAAAATAATGTATCACTTTGATTATGCTTTCTTTGTAAATGTTACTGATGAAATTCTATTCAGATTTGCCTGCGGTAATTTCCTTGTTAGAGAGTAGTTCTGGCTATCCCCTAATCCAGTGATGGCGAACCTTTTAGAGACCGAGTGCCCAAACTGCAACCCAAAACCTATTTACGTATCGTTGGGTGCCGGGTGGACGTGGCCTATTGGGTGGGTGTGGCCCATTGGGTGGGTGTGGCCAATTAGGTGGCCATGGCCCATTGAGTGGGCATGGCTGCAGTGGTAATGGCAGACTGGGTGGGACTAAAAGTTCAATCAATCAATTCCAACTTTGCGAAATCTTTTTTTCCCCCGAGAAGTTGAAATTGATTGATTGAACCTTTTTTTTTTTTTGCACACAGCAGCGGAGGCCTAAAGCGAAAAGGTTTTATAAAACCCAGCTGAAGGCCTAGGACTGAGACGATAGCGCGTATGCCCACAGAGAGGGCTCTGTGTGCCACCTATGGCACGCGTGCCATAGGTTTGCCACCACAGTCCTAATCATTTTGATTGTTCTTTTCTGGTTTCTATATTAATAAGCATGCAAATCATTCCATATACATTTACATCACAATTTTACTTTTGTCAATTTTACTTCTATTTTCTTCCAAAGAATTCCCAACACAGACTTTCCTTTTTTTTTTTATAGCCACTGCACACTAGACTGACATTTTCATTGATGTATTTTCATTAGGTCTCTCAAGATTGCTTTCCTGCCCAGTGATTCCAACTCTGCTAAAGAATACATGAGCTTGCACTTCAAGCCAAAGCTTACCCTGGATTGCCTTTGCTATTTTAAGGCCCATTCACCCATTTCATTTTGGATCTCTCCACAATCCCTTTTTTGATCTGATCTAACTGGAGCAATTTGAAATAATCAGCAAACTTGCCACCTCATTGCTCATCTCTTATTCCGAGGCTGTTTATAAATGAACTTAAAAGACTGATCCATGTGATACCCCTTTTATACAACCCTCCTTTGTGAAAACTGTATTACTAATCTCTGCTTCCTGTTCTTTGATGATCACAAATCCATGAGATGGCTTGTCCTCTTATGACATTGCTTCTATATTTGCCCTGAAGACTTGAATAAGGAGCTTTGTTGGAGACATTTACATATCAAATCATTCTTGTTTTCATGCTTGTTTACAAACATACTGTACATAACAGTTTTCTATTTTTCTTCCCTCCATTTTACTCAGATTGAATGTGAAACCAACTGGTTTGTAATTTCCTGAATCTACCCTCTCTTTTTAAAATTTAGAATTATATTCTGATTACATAATAATATATTTTGCTAAGGGTCTACTTTTAATAATTATTTGCTGCCTCCAATGCTATAAGAGCCATGGTGAATGATAATCATGATTTAATGAGTGGAACAGTTGTTTTACTAAGGTTTATCCCACCAATTATGGCTATGAAATTAATGTTGCCCAGTTCTAATGGTATGTAGGACTTTCAGAAATGTGGTGGGGGAACCATGCTACATGCGAAATCTAGGGCTGAGTCCTAGTATTGGGAGGAAGTGAAGGAGCCTACAGGAAGTGCATTGGGGCTTTAATAAATTGGCATGCAATGTATGCTTTGAATAATGAAAAAAAAAACCTGTTCTACTATTTCCTATGTTTCCTAACATAGGAACAGCTTATTTAAATAAGAAGTATTTCAAAAGAATCCATTTCTTAGAGAAACTTCAAAGGGTTTTGCTTTCCTCATCTACTTCCTTCTTAAAATTCTGAGAATTTGGGGAACTCAGAAGAAGAAGGGAAGTAGTTTTCTTTTTTTATGAGTTGTGGAATTCTGATCACACAGATCAGAAGGACAAATTTCCCCCTTCTCCTTTGTCTCCTGTTGCTAGAATAAAAGCTGAAAAATTATTGTTTATTTTTATTGCTCCAGATGTAGCAATACTGAGCTCATAATCTACAAATTGTACTTCCTAAAGGAAGTACTGACATTGAAAATTGAAAGTCTAGTCTTATCCTTCCCTATGTTACAATTTATGTCTATTTGTAAGGCTACTGGAAGAAGGACTAAATTATTAATTAAACACACATATGCTTCCCTATTAAGCACCTTTTTGTTCAGCTTGAGGATCAAAAGGCTAGGCAGATAATTGAACCACCATATTAATAGTGCCATTGCTATCTGAAAGCAAGGAAACATTAGCATGTGAATATTGTGAATTATGCAGTACAGTTGGGTGTAATATGTACATGACAGGTAATATTAGGGTAGTTCCTACCATGTGACAAAACTATTTGCAGAAGCAGCTTAGCTTTGCCTGTCCAATGATGCTGATTCAGATATATTTTCTAATTTTACAGGTTCGGTTGAGAAGATGTCTTGCCAGAAAGTTATCCATTTTGGGCAGCAGTTGTTTCGTCGGAAAGTGGTAGACTGTACAAGCAACGACAGCCGGCTCTCGCGGTGCCTCAACACATTTGACTTGGTTGCCCTTGGCGTAGGCAGCACTCTTGGGGCAGGGGTTTATGTTCTTGCTGGAGCAGTGGCACAAGAAAATGCAGGACCTGCCATTGTCATTTCCTTTCTGATTGCAGCTCTGGCTTCTGTGCTGGCTGGACTTTGCTATGGAGAATTTGGTGCTAGAGTTCCAAAGACTGGATCAGCGTATCTCTATAGTTATGTGACTGTTGGTGAGCTTTTGGCATTCATTACTGGCTGGAACCTAATTCTTTCTTATGTCATTGGTGGGTATTCCTTTGTTATCATTGGTCTATTTAATCAAGAACAGGTTTAGATCTGTGAAATATTGCATTGTGCATTGTGCTCTGTCATAATAAAGCTACCTTTTAAACTCCAGAACAACTTAATATGATCATCACAAAAGCATATTATTGGGGTTGAGAATACTGGCTAACAAGAGCAGTACTTTGAAAGGAATGGTTCTTTTAAAGTTTCAGCCTCAAGGTGCGAATAGAGTGATGTAACTAAAAGAAATAGAGGCAAAATATGTGGGCCTTCTGAAGGGGTGAGTTGTGGAGATTCAAAAAGTATATGTTCATTATTATTACAGTATTATTTTAGATTTAGAAGTACCTAACATTGTGTTGATTTGCTATATTTCAATGGAGCAATTTTAGGGAGAGGTCTGTGCAACAGGGTGAGCTCTCATTACTTGCCCCAGCTCCTGCCCACCTAGGAGTTCAAAAGCATGCAAATAGATTAATAAGTACCACTTTGATGGGAAGGTAACAGCGTTCCATATGCCTTTGGGTGTAGCCATGTTGGCCACATGACCATGGAAATTGTCTTTGGACAATGCTGACTCCCTTGGCCAAAAAATGGAGAGGAGCACGGTGCCCTAGAGTTGGACATGACTGACAGGGAAACTGTTACCTTTTTGCCAGCACTCACAAAAATGGGGCTGAAAATAATTGATTCCTATAGCGCATGAGAGGAACTCTGATAGCGCATGAGAGGAACTGTTAACCAGAAGAAGAATTAGGTGTCAAGGCTATTTCTTATACTGAAACAGTGGAGAGATGTAGACCTTTTCAAAAGAGACAGACTTCATTTCTTCTGCATCAAAAAAGAGAGAGCAAATGAACAAACATTTTGCCACCTTCGACTATATACTGTATATATAAGTATCTAATTTGAAAGTGGAATTCTTGCTGGAATTTTTGTGTAGTGACCTTGATTTTTCTTCCAGTAAATACTAGAGCTCTTAGGTACTCTTTCTTTTGAATAACTGTTTTGATTGTATGATAAACACGAAAAAGGGAATACCTGTTGTTTAAATCTTTCCTGATGTGTATGATAGAATGCTATGCATTAGGGTTTAATCTTATTGCATACGTCTGACAAATGCTGATGAACGTTAAGATCCCCTTTTGTCGATAAACAAATGTTTGAAGGGAAAATTACATCTAGACCACTTCCTCTTTATTGCTTAAATTGGTAATCATTGCTATCCAACCAGATGTAACAGCTATTTGGTGGATTGGATATATGCAAACAAATGCACACAGCTCGTATATATAGCTGTATTGATCATTTCAAATGCTTTAATGTTTCCTTAACTGTAACTTAAAAGCTGTCTACATTGATTAAAATTATGAAGCTTACAATCAAACACTGAAAAAGAAAATAGTGGGATGGGGCATTGCATTAGTGTACTAAAAGTGAGGTAAAGCAGAGATAAATAGCAGCCCTTTCTAAATCAAAGCTTTTTTTAAACACAGAGTTCAAGGGAAAGATGGATCTCTAACTTGGGATTAATATTATAAAAGATTTAATTGCAGTGAGGGTCTTGCTGGAAAGCAAAACTAGACCTTCTTACAAGACTGTTTATAGGAAAACATTGCACATTTATTTTTTCTTTTACTCTTTTTTGTCAATTACAGAAGTAGTATATCAAAAAAGAGAAGAAACATGATTTAGGTATAGATTCAGAAATCAGACCATGTGCTATGTGTAGCCCTATATTCTTCTCTTTTTAACACATGATTAAACACAGAATCTCAGATTACGTGTAATAACTTTCCATGTTAGCAAAAGATACTGTATCTACCAGGTTGGTAATAACGAATAAATTTAATAAATAAAAATAAACAAACAAATCATTGTGTGGCTTCTAGCAGCTCCAGTTTCTGATAACTCTGTTTCTTTATGTGTATGAAATGGCAAATTCCAATTAATTAAATTACAGATGGATAGTGCCTATCTGGCCCCAAGACGCCTCCTAGTTTTCTAATTACTGAAATTCCATGAGATTGTTAGCAGTCTTATGTGAACTCTTATAAGATATAAAAAATGTTAACCTTTTTTTCAGATCTGTGCCTGACCTCTGATTAAAATTTGGGGCAAATATAAATTTTGTGGGCTCTGAATTGGAAGATGATTTAATCATCATTTGATCAAAAGTGATATAGCACATATTCAAGCAAAAGGCACATGCATATTTTGAATAATGAGATAGGAGGTTATTGTTTCAGCCAGATTATAGAGTTATACCATAATATTTTAAGTGCAAGAGTTGGTGAAGGGATAATAAAATGTAGAATTAATTAAAATGTAGAATTAATTAAATTAATAGGAAATTAAGAGCTCTTACATGTAAGAAGCATGAAAGATAAATATATTCAGAAACATTTTGGTGAAAGTTGATAAATCATTTTTTTAAAAAAAAAATAAAAATAAAAATTAGTGCCCTTAAGGAAATGTTCTGTATGTTTTGTTTTTCTTAATTTAGAACTTTTTTAAAAAAAAATGAAACACATTAATAATACATTTATCAGTTTAGCAACTAACTGTGGATGAAAATCTGCTTAAAACAATTTTATTGGCTGTGAGTGAACTAATAACTGGACAATATTTATCTTTGGTGGAATCCACATTTTGTAGAATACTTTTTCAACAGGCTGTTCCTGTAGCAAATATTTAATTATTATTATTTTTTGGTAGAAGAGTAAAGAAATACTGTATAGTGATTCATGTTTTTCTGTGATAAAAGAAAATACTTGGGAGAAGCACAGCATGAATTTGTTTCAAGTTGGAATTTGTTCCAAAATAAGTAGGAGTGGTTGAATAGGAAGGGTTTGGAAGGGAATGTAGATTGAACTTCAAAAGTTCTGTATTTATTTACAACTACTTGGTGTTTGCATAAAGAATTTCCTTGCTTTGTATGCATTTATAGAATTAGCATTCCCTGATCTTGTTGATCAAAACATGGCCCCTGTGAATCATTTTATATTGCTTTCCAGAAAAAAAAAATCACTGTTAGGCAGCTGTTCCAGGTATAAAATCAATTATGGAGAATTCCTCTTGAGGTCCAATGCCTTCAAGATGACTTTTACACTGTATAAGTACACAAGGAGCTCCCTCTCCAGTTTTGTACCCTTCAGATGTAGATTGAACCTTAGTTCCAATTATACCCAGTTACCATTGCTTTCTAGACCAGTGATGGTGAATCTTTTAGAGACTGAGTGCCCAAACTGCAACCCAAAACCCACTTATGCATCATCAAGTGCCGGGTGGGTGTGGCTCATTGGGTGGGCGTGGCCCATTGGGTGGGCGTGACCGCAGTGGTAACGGCAGACTGGGTGAGACTAAAAAGTTCAATCAATCAATTCCAACTTTGCAAGACCTTTTTTTTCCCGTGAGAAGTTGAAATTGACTGAACCTTTTTTTTTTTGCACACGGCGGCGGAGGCCTAAAAAAAGTTTTATAAAACCCAGCTAAAGGCCTAGGACTGGGGCAAAGGCATGCGTGCCCACAGAGAGGGCTCTGAGTGCCGCCTCTGGCACCCGTGCCATAGGTTCGCCACCACTGTTCTAGACTTTGCTTGTAAATTACCTCTCTTGTCCTTTATTCAAAGTGCAATTGAACTTGTTGGACCACATTGTTTTCTTCCTTAAACCAGGAAATAACTTATTTTCATTTTGATTAAAATGCTGAATTTTACTCATCACAAAATAAATGAGTGGGATTTGAATGATTTTCTAAGGATTTAATGGTGAGATGGGCACCCAAAATGTATTAAATAATAATAATTAATAGTAATATATCAAAAGATCAAAGTTGTTCAATTTGACAAAGGAAATGGAACAAATGCATTACATGTTATACATAAATGGTGAAAACTAGAGGTAGTAGATGAATTTGTATTGGTAGATATTTAGTAAAAATGGAAAAACTAAGAAAAATTAGATACCCAAATGCTTGTAAAAAAGAAATGAGTAGTATAGGGTAATACAGAATTGATGACCTTGTTTTGGAAAGAGCATTATGACTTGCCAAGTTTTGTGCTCTGAGGCAGATAAATGGATTTTGGTAATACCTCTTTGATTTAAATGTTTAGTTGCAAAATTTGCAGAATCACTGGCCTATAAAATATCCAACAGGGAACAAGCCCCCTCATGGTCACTTCTGAACTCTGGGATACAACAGTCCTGTGGATTTGTATGAGTAACTCCTGTTCTTACGACACAGGCTAGGGACCAGGGGAGTGTAGTAGGAAAGAAGTAACACACATTTTAGAAAAAATTGTCTTCCATTCCTGTTCAGCCTGATTTTAAAATCTCTAGAAGATTCAGTGAACTTGTTGTTAAAAACTGGTCACCTTTTATATATGTATTTTTACATGTTTTATAAATTACTTGGCATTATTTTGTTTTGTTTTGCATAACCTTGTTCATTCCAGATGAAATAGTGCTATGTGTATGTTAATGGATATAATGTTATATGTCATTTTTATTCTCATACAGGGACATCAAGTGTAGGCAGAGCTTGGAGTGCAACATTTGATGAGCTTATAGGCGAGCATATTGAGAAGTTCTTTAGTCGCTACATGTCTATGAATGCTCCTGGTATTCTAGCAAAATACCCAGATGTCTTTTCTGTTTTCATTATACTAATCCTAACAGGTGAGAGAAATAAATAAATATCATTTGGGATGAGCATTTTCTGGTGCTTTTGAAACCTTATTTTGCGGGGGAAATGAACAGACTTATTTATTTTGCTGTTTTTAAAAAGCTTTTTTATTTGCTGGATCAAGTTGTCCTTCAGTTGCAGAGATAGGTTTCCTTTTTGCTACCGTTTAAAGTTATTTATGTGTACATGTAGGTACAAGCTGGAAATTATTGAGCATTCTAGCTGTACTTTTTTCTTGTAATAAAAACTGTGATTAAAGATTACCTTTAGAATGGGCTTTGAAACTTCTCATTTTTTCACTTGTGACCTAAGAAGCAATGTATATGTTACTCACGACATTAAAGGGAATTAGATTTAAAATCCAGATTTACTTTTGATGTTTACCTCAAAGGCTCCAATGTAAATACTCAGTACAGAATTTTATGATTACGTGCTTCTCAGATGTCATGCAAGATACTTTCCAGTTGCTTAGCAACTCTGACCATCTAGCACAAGGCTCTGTTTTCTGAAAACTAATGAGAAAGTTATTCAGTCTTATTTCTACACTTGCCAAATCTTCTTTCAGATCTGAAAGATTTTTTCCTAATTCTTGCTCCCCATATCTGTTACATTCCTTTGTAAAACAACTTGAAAGCTTGTTGAGTCTCATTCCTGTGTGAGACATCACTCAACAGCTAGCAATGGAGATTTCCATGACTGACCCAGAACATGTCTAGGCACCTTCTTAAAAATTATATATGCTTAAAAATATTCCTGAATACAATTTCATAGACTGATAGTTTGGATCAGAACCATACATTGGTATTCTGATCATGTAAGACAGACATGTCAAACTTGCAATGTCACGTAACGTCGCGCAACGTATCGGAGCTTTTTTGCCATTGCTGGCAATGGGGTGGGCGCGGTTCCGGTATAATGAAACCGGCCCGCGGGCTGGCAGTTTAACACTCCTGATGTAAGAGGTGCAATTTACAAATACCGAATCATGTTATTGAAATAATTGGCAACTGGAAATTTTTAAGTCATTACAAAGTTCGTCCATGGCTAAATTCACAACACAGCCAAACAATAGCTTTGTTGTTATGAAAATATTTTGGATATGCATAATCTGAAACATAAAATTAGTAGGAAAGGGACCATATTTTGGCACTTAAACTATTACTGCAGAATCTGAATGAAAGTTTTGGATAATTTCCTTTCCTCACCTCTGTTTCAAAAAATTGTTTAAGGAGCTAGCAGCTAAGAAATATGTTGGTAATAGTCTTTCCAAAACTAAATTGGGAAATGTTGAAGCAATTCTTTCCAAGAATATATTTTTTCTTGTTGATGTTGATTAAACAGTTATAATACAATTATCCACTGTAAATTTTTTTAGGACTTCTGACTTTTGGCGTGAAAGAATCTGCAATGGTTAACAAAGTGTTCACTTGTATCAATGTCCTCGTCTTGTGCTTTGTGATGGTGTCAGGTTTTGTGAAAGGCTCAATAAAAAACTGGCAGATCCCAGAAAATCTCTCACTTTCGGAGAAGTATGTTGGTTTTTATTTTTTATATATACATATCTGAAATAATATATGCATTCATAGCTTTTGTTTAGCGCACATTGACTGTATATCAGATATGAAAATAAGAGAAGTGAACAGTTTGTAACACATCAGGTGGTTGATGGAAACTGAAATTCAATACTATACAATTGCTTATTAACTGATTGTTCAATTAACAAAAATCAGTTTCTCATGGCTAGTGCTAGGCTGCCTATGGTTTGTACATATGCTCCTCTTTGAATCATAAGTGGTTCAAAGCTCAGCTACCTGCAATAAGCTTTCACGATATTCTGTTGCTGTGGATAGAAATTAATTGTATACCTGAATATATTTTCATGAGTAGTGCTTTTGTTGCAAATAAGATAAGAAAGAGCAGCTGCTCCAGAGTGGACAGCCTTACCCAACTTAACTGTAGTCATATGTTTGGGATTATAGCTTTTTCACCATTCCATCTAGAATTAATGCCACTATAGATGCAGCCTCATATGTGAATTAATAAAATTGTGGTTATTCACAGGCTTCTTGTGTATGTTCAAATTACATTTAAAATCAAAGAAGACTACAGTGTGGGGCTGCCCATTTTTTTCACTTAATGTTATGTAGATCTTGCAGAGTTTGTGACTAGCAGATGAAAAATCATGCTCTGTTCATGCTTGCAAAAACTTCCCCCGTAGAAAGAAGTTTCTGTACTAAGAAGAATAAAATATTTGAAATGTCACTGCTGCTTTGCAACATTGAGTTCCTTCCTTATTACCTCCTAAGCAACACAGTGAGAGTTTTTCACCACACAGAGGGGCTTTTGTTAGTCCTGGTTAAATATACTGAAGTTTGACAGCTAGGAAGGTTGCCTCCTTTTGTGGTTGATCTAAGAGAAAAGCTATAATTCTCTGTGCCATGGGCACATTGCCTCTGCCCCAAGTCCCTGCGCTTTTTAGACACTCAGTCCATAGGCTGTTGCCAATATTTAGCAAGTAAATTATAATTGACAGATTTAAGACCTGTTAAGGAAAGAGGCAATGGAAGAGGAATCAAGTTAGGAGAAAAAAGTACACATAACTTGAGAAATGCGTTCTAGTTATGCCTACTTTCTTCTTTGACAGTACCCATTTTTGTCCTCTTGTTCCTAAGAATTGGCATTGTTTGTTGACTCCCAAAAGGGAATCTAGAAGGCATCAAGTCTTTTTGCCTTTTTAATCAACCTAATCTTGAAAGTGCTTCAAGACCTTGTTGTTTTTGCAGAATAGAACAATTTGCATGGACCTAAAATACTTTATATAATACAAGACATTTTATATAATAAAACCTTGACTCTACTTGGAAACAATAAAAAGAAATTTAAAAAGAGAAGTAATGAAATCTTGGAACCAAATGGGCCAGCAAGTTTGTATTGTTCTTTGGGCATAGTCGTGGAAGAGTTGCCTGGCTAAACTTGGGAGTACATTTTATGCAGATTAAAAGCACAAGCTAAGACAATTAAGATTTTAGTGAACCACTGTTTATGAATTTTAAATTGAACTAAATAACCCTGCCTCTAAACAGAGGGCTGTATCTCTGAAATATAGATAGCAGTTACAGGATTAGAATATTCTTTTGATTTACAAAGCTGAACCTCTCCTTCCTTCCCCTCCCCTGTCTACCCAGAATCTAATGACAGCATGCACAGGGCTTCTTATTGTTACTTAATTCAAATGGTTAATTTTTGAAACCATAATCATTCCACTTGTTCCAAACTCTGAAAATGGTTTTGAAACCAAACTATAAAAATTAAAAAATAACTCATGCTGCCCAGTCCTGTTCATATTTACAGTACACAAAAATAGATCCTATTGATTTTGATGAGAGATCCATTTATTTGTGCAGTTGTTTAATGGAGGTGCAAATGAGTCCTGGGAGGCTGTTATACATAAATTAATAAATGTATAATGTAGTAGCCATTTAGTATTGGTAAATCTTGATGAATCAGCTCTATTCTGAATTTGTCCTGTTGAATTTTCATAGTTGCAAGATATTCTTGGAATTGGGTAATCAGAATCACTTCTGATTTCTTACTGCTTCTTCTAGTTCCACACAGAATCTGCCGCATGGTGTTGGTGGGTTTATGCCATATGGTTTTTCTGGAGTTCTTTCAGGAGCAGCTACCTGCTTTTATGCATTTGTGGGATTCGACTGCATTGCCACCACAGGTAAGGTAACAAAAAAATAAATATATATATTTAAAATAATATTTTTTACTCTTAGTTGGGCCTTCTTTATGTACTACTCAGGAGACTCTGAGCCATTTTTTCCATTCTTCTGCAGGTTCATCTCTGAAAATAGTTCCTGCAGCTCTGAATGGTGTTTCTTCTTTTCAGCATGAAATATATTATATTTACATACAGATCAGAATCTAATTAGATTCTTGGAGAAGGGATTCTGTGTTTTAAGACATAAGCAGTAGAAGGTACTTGTGGAACCTGAACTTGCATCAGAATATTAATTTCAGCCGTATTTGATTAAGTGATTAATTATACCATGCAGTGTGACGCTATTCATTTCTACTCAAATAAATCAACATTGCAAAATTTTTGATGTAATTTTGGATATCACTACCTCTTACTCTTAGTTTTCATTATCTTATCAATAAGCTTGAAAATGAAGTTCTACTAATATATTCTTAGCATTTGGATAACAGCAATAGAAGGAGCCCTGAAGATTTATGTTGCATTGCATAATTTTAAAGTACAAATTAAGGTGTTGGATCAAATTGTATAGCTTGATTCTCAAACATGTAAGTTATTTATCTAGGCAATACCTCTTAGCATGATTTGCAAATGTAATTAGATGCTATATGTTTCATAAACAGCTGTAGATTTTCCTTATTGGAAACAGTTAGGTAATTCAGGGAAATAATGTGCAATAATTTAAAAAGGGGTTGTAAAATGTGTGCTTTTACAGTAATTTAATATGCTACTGACAACTTTTAATTTGGTACTTTCACTAGAGGAAAAATGTCAAATGCAGTTTCTTCACTAAAAGGAAATAATTAAATCTGTCTTTTGTAATCTTTGGATTATATCTCCTTTTTTTAGGTGAAGAAGTAAAAAATCCCCAGAAAGCTATTCCAATAGGCATAGTGGCCTCACTTCTGATCTGCTTTGTTGCATATTTTGGGGTGTCGGCTGCTCTTACTCTCATGATGCCTTACTATCTGCTTGATAAAAATAGCCCACTGCCAGTTGCTTTTAAGTATGTGGGATGGGAAGGAGCAAACTATGCAGTAGCTGTTGGATCCCTGTGTGCTCTTTCTACAAGGTAAGGGCTACAACATTTTGCTTACATGGGGTAAGAGTGTATTCACGTACTCACTGAAGAGTGTATTCATCTTTAAATAAAAACGTTCATGGCTAATTTAGGAGTTGGCACAGTGGTTAGAATGCAGTACTCACTGCAGTAACTCACTGCTCACTCCAGTAGTTCGATGCTGACCTAGTCAAGGTTGACTCGGCCTTCCATCCTTCTGAGATCAGTAAAATGAGGACCCAGATTTCTGGGGGCAACATGCTGACTCTGTAAAGCCACTTAGAGAGGGCTGTAAAGCACTATGAAGCGGTATATAAGTCTATTGCTTATAACTATTGCTATGTTTCCATAGTTCAAATTTGATATATTTGGAAAGGTAAGTCACTTAGATGGTAATTGTTTACAATTTCCCCCCACTTTAGTTGGAGGTCTATGATAAAGCTTGCAGAAGAGATAATTGATTCTACTTCTAGTAGGTCTAAAACCCTGGGGGGGGGAATTAACTGCCAGTCATTGGAGACAAACCCTTCCAATCTGATGCTGATATATAGGACTAAGATTTTAAGAGTTCCTCGTCAGCGTCTCCAGAAATCACACTGTTTAGGAATTCTGGGAATTTTTAATCACGCATATGAGGTGGGGGGATGACTGATAGAGTTAATTGGTCCATAATTGGAACAGTGTAATTGGACTTGGTAGAAACTAGCTGTGTCTCTTCCGAGGTAAAATTCTTTGGCTATGGGCTCCCAGGAAACTTTTGTTACATTCCAGCAGTTATCACTAATTTGTCATTTTTATTGTGAAAAAAAGAAGAAATAAATATAATCATTTATTTAAAGGAAATAGAATCAGATTTAGTTTTTATTCAGCCTCATTCATTCCTTTATCCTGTCCTACCTATTTTTAGGAGTTTGACTCCTAGCTCTCACTCATAGGCCAGAAAAGATTCTAAACATAAAAAAAAGAGAACCATGCATATTTCCTTCAGATAAAGCTTGCAATGCAATGCCAATGTTCAGGATTTATTGTTAAAATGAGTACAGAATTTTTTAAAATCCCACTTTTATGTACAGGTAGTCCTCAACTGGCGACTATTTGTTAGTGATTGTTCAAATTTACAACTGCGCTGACAAAAGTGACCTACCACTGGTCCTCCTACTTATAACCATTGCAGTATCCCCATGGTCACATGATCAAAATTTGGGCACTTGGTAACTGGCATGTATTTATGACGATGGCAGTATCTCAGTGTCATGTGATCATCATTTGCAACTTTCCTAGCTGGCTTCCAACAAGTAAAGTTAATGGAGGAAGCCAGATTCACTTAATAACAGGATTTCACTTAATGACCATAATGATTCACTTAACAACTACAGTAAAATTGGGCATAACTCACTTAAAACTGCTTTGCTTAATGATGGAAGTTCTGGTCCTAATTTTGGTTGTAAGTTGAGGATTACCTGTCTCTAATTATTTTTGGAATACATTTTATTAAAAGGTTTTAAAAAAACATTAACACACACTAATACAACATGGAAGAACCAAGGAGAAAAAGTGCAATGAGAAAATATAAAAAGAAATAGAAATTTTCAGTTTCTTCTGCAGCAAATATAAGTATCTGACTGATTTTTTAAAATTCCATTTTCATTATGGTGAAGGTCTAGGATTCACTGCTGTAAAAGAGTAAAACTTTCCCATTATCTGTTACAATTACTCCCCCAATTTGGGGAAAGGACACTTATTCCTTAAAAATTGAATTCCCTGCAATAGAGACTGCATTGTTGGATTATGTTAAACAATTTTATTTCATGCCCCATTTTTTGTACACAAGAAATAAGTCAACATTAATGTCTCTTGTCTTTTTCTAGCTTGCTTGGATCCATGTTTCCAATGCCCCGGGTTATTTACGCGATGGCAGAAGATGGATTACTATTCAAATTTTTGTCTCGTGTCAATGAAAGGACAAAAACCCCAATGTTAGCTACTATAACCTCAGGAGTTGTTGCAGGTAAGAAAGATTCCTTAAGAACGAATCAAGTAATTACTAGGTTCCACCACAACTGTATGTGTGTGGGTGTGCATATTGTAAACACATGCCTCTCATAACTCCATAAGGAGAACACCCAGCATCTATAAAGCAGATCAAAACTAATGTTACATATTTTACTACATTTTAATATGCAAATATTTTTAAGGTTGCAAGACTTGCTCATTTAGAAATAATATTACTACTCTTACTAAGTGTTGTGTAAGTCAGAGTTTTTTGAACTCTGGTTTTCTTACTTTTTTCTCATGAGTTTTACATCACCTCCTGGGAAACAGAAGAACTTTTTGGCTCAGAAATATGGATAAGGATTAAATTGTCATGATTCATCAGGGTTGTACATGAAATGAAAAATATCCTTCTACTTAATTGGTGTCTTCTCTCTCTCTCTCTCTCTCTCTCTCTCTCTCTCTCTCTCTCTCTCTCTCTCTCTCTCTCTCTCTCTCTCTCTCTCTCTCTCTCTCTCTCTCTCTCTCTCTCTCTCTCTCTCTCTCTCTCTCTCCCTCCCTCCCTCTCCCTCCCCCCCCTCTCTCCCCCATCTCCCCATCTCTCTCTGCCCCTCTCTCTGCCATTAGCTATCATGGCCTTTCTCTTAGACCTCAAGGATCTTGTAGACCTGATGTCTATCGGGACTCTTCTAGCTTACTCCTTGGTGGCTGCCTGTGTCTTGGTACTAAGGTAAGAAACAACAGCATTGCTGACAAAGTAGCCCCAAACATAGCCCAAATTTGCTTTCTCGAAAGGTATTTAATTTTAGATTTTATTACCTACTAAGTTCAAAATGTGAACTGAACCTCTTGCTCAACAGCAGCAGATCCTAGGAGACATGGGGAACAATTTGGTATGCTAGTCAGGGCAAAATGGTTCTCTACAATGAAAATCGGCTGCTTCATTATTGGTGCAGATAGCTTTGTATCCCATCTGCTCTGCTGCCCTCAGGACAGGTCATTTTACCCTTTCCACACAAATGCAAAACAGATGTTTGGACTTTTATCTTTGTTTATTTTGGCAAACTGCTTCACATAAGATTTTCCTTGCGATACCGCCGGCCCAAGTCTGGGTAAGCCTATTCTGCATGCTTCAGCTTTCATTTTCCAGAGTTAGGAATTTTTGCAGCTTCATTTACCAAGTTAGAGAAGCAGTTGGACAGGAAGAGGAAGGACGTCGTATTAATAGGAAGATGAAAAGTGCAATATTAAGTGTAGAAAGCTTGCTCTACTACTACATAAAAACAACGGCAGAATTAAGCAGATGAACAGCAGTTGATCCTGTTCACATGCTGTTCACCTGTTTAAAACAGCAGGTGATTCAGCAGGTGTGGTGCAGTGGTTAGCACTCTGGCGATTCGAGCCCCTATAGCACTGCGGGACAGGGTGAGTTCCCGTCACTCGCCTCAAACTCCTGCCCTGGCCACCTAGCAGTTCGAAAGCACGATCGCGAGTAAATAAATGGGAACCGTTCTGGTGGGTAAGGCTAGCTCAGGAGTAGGCAATCTTGGCTCTTTTATGACTCGTGGACTTTCAACTCCCAGAATTCCTGAGCCAATTCCAATTCTGGGAGTTGAAGTCCACGAGTCATAAAAGAGCCAAGGTTGCCTACCCCTGGGCTAGCTGCACAAAAAGAAAGGGAGTCAGCATTGGACTTGCCCGTACATAAAGGCAAGATCGGTGGAGGAGCCTCCAAATTTGTCATCAATCCAAATGCCACTAGCCAGATGGTGCAAGCTAGTTTGTCCCCTGTGGTGCACCGTGAATAAGTGTGCAAACACAAAACTGAACAAGCTAGCAATTAGACTGTCAGAACTACTCTATAAAGTAGTTCTGACAAATGTATGTCAGATGAAATAAATAAATAAGCAATTGATTCCCATTTTTTTAAAACATAGAAGTTACTTGAGCCTGTATTTTTTCTCTGCAATTTTTGCAGATAGTTGAACATTAAGTACAAACTGCAGATTGCAATAAAATGTAACACATTTTTAAAGAGTATTTTCTCTTTGAAGACAAAATGTAGTATATAATACCTGAGTAACAGCCTAATCAAGATATCCAAATCAGAATCAGATTGGCTAAAGAAGACAGCAGTTTTACCTTTATTCCTGGAAATACAGTTTTGAGACTTGTATGGCTTTCTGGATAACGTTAGTGAAAGGCCTAGCCTTATTTCTGGCATTTAAAAAATACTCTTTAATATTAAATGGAACTTATGGTGGGGCATTTATCAGAGCAATAAAGTTCTAAGAAGAACGTAACACATTTAAACTTAACATTTTTGCCTATGTGTAGCTTTGGCAGCTCTGTAATTTTATGGATTTTATGGATTTCATTTTATGGGTTTCATAGGAATACATGAAATAAAACCTAATACTTGTAGTTACAGTTGACAGTGATAAAGTTTCTGCCTCTTATTCCACTATTCTACTTTTGATACGTTCTTCTAATACTCAAATAAAACCTTCCAATGGCATATTTATAATTTCCAGTACTACAATGCTATGTGTCTCTTATGTTTGTTTGTTTTCCCTATAGATACCAACCTGAGCAGCCTAACTTGGCGTATCAGATGGCTAGTACTACAGATGAGACAGACACAAATGAGTCTGTGAGCACAAGTGAATCTCAAACTGCGTTTCTGCCGGGAGAGGGAGAGAAATTATCCTTAAAAGTCATCCTCGTCCCCCAAAATACAATTCCTTCCAAACTTTCGGGATTTATAGTGAATGTCTCTACTTGTGTCATAGGTAAGCAGCTGCTTCCAAAAACTAGTATTATTCTCAATCGTTGTGGCTCTGATTGCTGAGTTTCCTCTCTGAAAAGTCGATTAGTGAGTTTGCTGATGAACTGAGAATGTCCTCCTTGCAGTTTGTGTTTTGATTTAGCTATCTTTAGAATAAAACCATTGTGGAAATTAAGAGATAATGGTGATACGCTCCATGGCAATGGACCTAGGTATTTGCAAGACCGCCTCCTACCAAATACCTCCCTTCGACCAGTCCGCTCCCACAGAGAGGGCCTCCTTAGGGTGCCGTCGGCCGGTCAATGCCGGCTGGCGACCCCCAGGGGGAGAGCCTTCTCTGTGGCAGCTCCTGCCCTCTGGAATGACCTACCCCCCCGACCTACGTACAACTGCGGACCTGCGCCTTTTTCGCCGAGCCCTGAAAACCCATCTATTTCGTGCGGCCGGCCTGGCGTAGTCTTAATTAGGTTTTAGTATAGGTTTTTATATGGGGTATTTTAGAGCAGGCCTTTATTTATTTGATTTGATTTTAGAATAGATATTTATTGTGATTTTTATTATCGCCTGTTCACCGCCCTGAGTCCCGTAAGGGAGATAGGGCGGTACACAAATCTAAATAAACATAAAACATAAACATACAACCCCTAAAAAAAAGGCAAAGAACTGGTAAGTCAAAGTCAAAGGAAGCCCATCAAAGAAGCATAGAATACATGACAATCCTAATTCAGGTAGTCCCCACTTAACCCCCCTAATTGGGACTGGAATTTCTGTTGCTAAGCAAAATTGGGTGAAACATATGACTGTAGCACTTAGTCATGGCAATTCCAGTAGTAGTCCCGGCTGTGGTTGTTAAGCCAGGGCCGTGCCATCCCTGAGTAAGGATCTCATGCTTCTCCTACCCTACTGTACTTGTCTCCACTGCAGCTGCCCCCTCCTGTCTGGTCAGCAGTGGGAGAAAGAAGGCAAAAGTCGGGGGGGGGAGTAGCAGGGATAGCAGCAGAGTGTTGGTCCGCTAAAGGGGCAGAATTGGGAGGGAGATAGGGTGGGGGAGGGGAGTTGTAGCACAGCCTGTGGTTGTAAATGAGAGTGGGCTGCCAAGCATCCAGATTTTGATCACATGACTGGGGTGTGTGTGTTGCAATAGCTGTAATTTTGAGAACCAGCCATAACTATCATTTCTTCAGTGCAGTCATAACTTCTAAGGGTTGCTGTACAGATAGTTGTCAAGCAAGAATTACCTGTAGATGAACTTTTTGTTCTACAGCAGGGGTCCCCGGGCCAGTTCGAAAGTGGGCCTCGTGAGCGGCTGGCTGGTGCACATAATATGCACTCATGTGCGTGGAGCTCAACTTGTACGAGTGGTGGGCCGTCGCACATGCACACCCATGTGCCAGCCCACCACTTGCACAGTCCAGGTCCCCTTCCCCCTGCCAGCTGCCAAGCCAGAAAGGTGGGGACCGCTGCTCTACAGGATTCAGTGAGCAAAACAGTCGCTCAGAAAAATGGATGTTGGAAGCTATGGATCCTGGGCTGCTTCCCTGCGTATGTCACAAGATTGTATTATTTTTACTTAGCTAATTACAGCTGTTTTTTTGTATTCCTCCCCACCAGGTTTAACAATGCATCCAACATCCTAATGTTTCTTGTTCTTAGGTTTTCTTATTGTCAGCTTCTGTAGCTTGACTGTCCTTGGCAAGGAAGTTCTGATCAGAGGAGCAGCGTGGGCCATTATCATGCTTGTTGTCATCTTCCTCATCTGCTTTGTTTTCGTGGTCATCATTTGGAGGCAGCCTGAAAGCAAAACCAAACTCTCATTTAAGGCAAGTGATATGTAAAGCTAGCATACATGCATAAAATAAGAAGTGGAGCCCTTGCTAGCTTTTTGATTAGAAAGAGAGATTAGTGGAGCTCAGTCTGCTTTTGCTAGAAAAGCAGCAGTGTGGGGAGACAGCAAAAGACACTTTCCCACGCAGATTGAACATCTGTCCTTCAGACATGACCTTCAGCTTTCTGGATGCTGTTTTTGTTGAAAGGAGGGTTCTCACCTTGTCTGATATCCTATTTGAACATACTGGGAGATAATCGATGGCATGCAAGGCTGCTGTTTTTGTTTTGATATTCCTAACATAATCTTCCCCAAAAAAATGCAACTCATTGCATTATGGGGTGGCCTCTAGAAATGAAGTTTTAATTATTTTCATAGAACAGTGAATGTGTAAGTGAGTGAGTGAGTGAGTAAATGTATACATACATAAAGTAGAGGAAGGAAAGCATGTCAGCTGTAGAGTTAGACAAGGGGTTGGTGACTTTTCAGATGTTGCAACTTTCAGCATTCAGTATGAAAATCTGTGAGAACTGCGTTTGCTGGGAATTGTAATTATGCAAAAACTTGTGGGTGTACATTCCCCACCTGGCATAACAGAAACTGTGCATCCCCAAATATTTACATTGTACGCACAAACTTATGATAAAAAGAGGATTTGAATTCAACATGCCTATATGATATGCAAGCCTTAATTATGTAATATAATATCTGTGTTGGAGTATAGACATTATATAGTTTTGTTTCTGTGTATCAACTTATTCTAATAAATTGGAATTGTTAATAGAAATTAATGCAGCCCTTATTTAGTGATCACAGTTGGGACTGACAGCTGTCATTAAGTGAATTGATTGCTAAATTGGAAATCTTATGAGTGTGACTGCTTTCCTTTCTCTCATACCCCACCCTTTCAAATGCTCACTCCAATCCTGGGATAATTAGCAAGAAGGGAATTAATGTTTGCATTTACATTCATTGGAGAGCAAGGTATTACAAGAGAGTAAGTCAGCACACAGTGGTGAATACACATTGAAAGGAATGTAGTAGGACCAGCTTCTGTTGAATTATTGCTACAACATAAATATCAGAAAAGTGTATACAGAAAATAACATTCAGTAACAATATTTAAAGTCAACTTTATCATGGGAACTCTTTATCATATTAATAAATTTTCAATCCTAACAAAATATGCTTTCATGCTAAATCTCCTGAGAAAGATCCTTACTCATTTCATTGTATGATACAAAGGAAAGTTTTTGTTGTTTCCATACAAGTTGTCTAGGTACCTTCCTGTTTTGCCACATTGAACCATTACCAAGAATATCTCCTAAAACGCCATCTCTGAAATGTGGTCATATTGTGTAGAATAGAAAGGATTTAATTTTTTAAAAATATGTGTCTAAAATATTGCAATTGCAAACTTGTATGTATGTATAAATCTGCACTCGGAGAATTGCATCTCCAATGTTCATCTGACTCTATAATTTTAAACACCTAGATGAAAGCCAGTAAACATGACATCTTTTAAAATGTATTGTCAATAGTTTCTAATTCCAGAGAATTCTTGCAGCACCTTATTTACTTTATCCAATTAGAGCTGTACTCAGAAGAACCTGCAAGAATTTGCTGCTTTGCATACATTCACTATATTATATGCTTGCTAATACTGATATGAGAAAACAATTCCTTCAAATGGAATCAGGAGAAGGTAGACATGTGAACTGGTGTATCCATACTCCTAAATGTGATCCAG